CCAGGTATGTTCAGACCACACCGAATATGTGGTGGTCTGCTTAGCCACATTTCACACCAGGCTGGACACAGAGTGGAACAACCAACAGACGGGGTTCCTGGGCTCATGAGCAGTCTGCTAGCTCAGATGTGAGTGAGACTGAGAGGTGGGGGATTAAGGAGAGGAAGGGCAGGGAAGAGGAAGTTCCCTCCTTATAAAAGACACTTGTCTCTTTGGGGGAAAGACAAGTAAAAAAGCCCCGCCTGGAAGCCAGGCCCAGACAGTCCCTTTAAGGTCTGTTTACATCTTTCAGCCGGAAAACGCACCGTCATCATTTCTTGAAGTCATTACTCAGAACACACCCCCATCGCATTTCATTTTATTATCCCCATTTTAGGAGCGATTAAATGGCAGTAGAGCGCACAGCAGCGATGAAGCAAATCATGAGAGGCTCTGATAAAGACAGAAGTCTGAATGCTCGCTGGAACGGCTCACTGTGCCAGACTATTTTTAATGCAAGTTTATGCAGCTGTCCTCCACTTAGAGACACTTAGCAGTGAACCTCTGGAAACAGTTTTTTTTTTTCCCACTTTCTCGACCCTTCCCCACTCACCATGCTAGGCACACATGGGGTTGGGGTGGGGGGCTGTGCCTGTTTACATCTTCTTCTCTCCATACCTGCACATGAGAGATGGACTTGGCTTTCCAAGAACACTACTTGACCTAGAGGTCAAAATCACTGCTAGTCCAGCCCCCACCCTACCAGTGATTCCTCATGTAGGAGCCTATTAAAGGTACAGGAAAGTGTTATTTGTTTTAAAGGAGGTTGAGCAAATACATAGGATGTGGAGAAGCTGGGACTATTCTCAGGGAAAATACTCAAGACAGTGAAAACAGTATGAGTCCTGGGCACCGAGGGTCACAGGTGTTCAGAAAACCTTTTTTACTAGATATTCTTTTGCATGGTGAGCAAATGTTACCTTCACAAATTACCATGAAAAATTTAAAAGGCAAGTGGGTGGGGTCACCAACTCACATTTGCTAAGTACTGGCTAGATGTCAAGCATTATGAACTGCTGTTTTACGAGAAAATCTCTTCAAATCCTCGTTAACAACCTCAGGTGAAGCCCTTTTTTACAAAAAGTAAAACAGACTTGGGAAACATTACCCCTCTGCCTGTATAGGTTGCAAGGGAGGAAGCGAGCTCTGTCCTTTCTGGCTTCAGGAGCCCAGCTCTACTGCAAGTCATTCAAGTCGATAACCCAGGTACACCGCGACCACCTCTTAACACCTGGAGGCAGACTGTGAAATCTCAGCACACGATTCACACCCACTGAAAGGCTCTTCCTTGACCTGGCACTTTGTGGTAAGAAGTGCATAGGCACTGAGGAAACTTAGCCTTTGCCCCCCAGACCTCACCCCAAGGTGGAAGAGAGAGCACTGTCACACTCTCCTCGCAAAACACAATTTTTAAATGGGAGATTTTCAGGTAGCAGTGAAATGGCTGGTCAATATTCTAAATTTCCTAAGTCTACCGAAGCTTCATTGAACAATTATTTTGTGAATGAATCCCTCTGAGTCAGGGACACTCCATGAGCGCTAGGATGAAAGAAGTGAGCAAGGTCTTTGCCCCAGGAAGCATCTGTCCTCCTGTGAAGAGACAGGGAGTAAAACAGGCCAATATGCAAAACATACGGTAATAAGTATATGAAAGAAAAGTAAACTGCAGTAAAAGGAGGAATGGGTGGCTACATTAGCTCAGGTCATCAGGGAAGGACTTCTAAGGAAGTGATATTTATCTCAATGACAGGAAGGGTAAATAGGCGCCGGGAGCTACTCTCCTTACAAAGTCAGGTTCCTCAGTCCTGTCCCAGCTCTTCCCAACCTCCGGTCCAAGCTTCTACTCATTTATTTGCAATCCCAGAGGTAAGAACTGGAAATGACTCAAAATCTTCTTAATCTCATGCCCTCATTTTAGATAAGTAGAAAGAAAGATCCAGAAAAGAGAAGAGCAGGCCACACAGCTAGTGGGCCTGGCTGGAAATGGAGAGTCCTGTGTCTTAGCCCATGTTTCTACACAATCTCCCTGTTTGTCTCCTGAGTGGCGACCTCCAACCTGCACAATCTCCATCCTGTGCCTAGCTGCTGTCCACCCACTGGGAAGAGACACCAACGCTTCCTTGAATCACAGAGGGCCTTCTGCAGAGCCATAGGAGCACTGAGAACTCACATTGAGGGTCTGAAGGCCAGAAGTAAAGTCCTGACACCACACCCCCGACAGGCCTGGGTGCTATGCCTGGCTCCTGCCACCCCCATTACCCAAATGGCACTTAAGAAGGACATGCAAGTTGGGAGCTCAAGGCTGTGAGCTCAGGGAACACTCTCTGTAGCTAATGATCCCTGGCTTCACCAAGTCAATCTGATGACATTTTGATCGATGACTTTCCAGCCTCTCCCAAATGCCTTACGAAAGGATTAACATAAACCTCTTCAAACAAGTTCCCTAACTACATTTAAACAAGCACCTATGAAAACTAAACTACATTAGAGATTTCTCCCCCTCGCCCCCACCTCACACACATAAATAACTTGTGTATCAAGGGCAATAGCGTCAATTTGGGTTCTTCATGATAGACCGTAGATGCACATATTATGTAATGACTCATGCATTTGGTTTTTCTTGAACTGTTCTATGCAACACACTCTTCTGGGTTGCCAGGACATGATGATGTCAACACGCAGCTCTGCCCTCTGGAAACACGCATGCAGCTCAGACTTAGGCAGCTGCAATGGTTGCTGCGACTGCAGCATGGACACACCACAGGGGACAGGGGTTGCATGGCACCATGTACCTCAGGGAAGGAGACAGTACTCTCTTAACTATGCTCCAAAGGAGGGCTAAGAGCAGATCACTGGCTAACTCATTGCAGGAACAGGAAACATCAAGACATGCTATACAGGAGCAGACGGTGAAGGACATACTCTCAGGACAGAGAGGAGCCCACTACAGCTTGGTGGAGAGATGGAAGTGAGAGGAAGAAGAGGCTGGCCCTAGAAGGTGGGCCAGAACCTTAACAGCAAGGCCAGATAAAGGCTGCATTCAACCCATGTAGCACAAAAGCCCTGAGCAGGTTTGGGCGACAAAGAACACAGCCCAGTAGCTCATTACCACAGCCCAGCCCAGGGTTATCTGAAAGGATCAAGGTGATCAAGGGCAGGGAGGTCCACTTGCAGAATCATACCAAGCTTCCTATGCCAATCAGAAGGAAGGAAATTCAAGCACCAAAGTAAAGCTACAACTGATACAGAAGGAAGGAAGACACACCTCTGAGGGAGGTTCTAGCCCAGGGGAAGGGGTGTATGAATACCCCAAGTCACGGATTCCAGCTGAAGGGAGACAAGTCATCACGAGCGAGTCAGCAGTGCCTCTCTGATAAAGGCGAGCATGGGATGCCCCAAACTTGAAACAGCCATCCGCAGACGGTGTGAAGGCTGCCCAGCTGGACATCTAATCATCCATGCATGAAGTCTCTGTTATTAATAACTCCTCTTCTGGAGATATCTGGAAGAGCATGTTATACATGAGGGACCCTGAGTACTTCTTAAATTATTATGTCTTCACAGCCGCAGAAAAGCAGCTTGATTGGGGTGAAGAGCAGGAGCCCAGGGAACAACCATTTCTGAACAAATGATAACTCCAGGGAGAGCAACACTGTCATCAAGAACATCGAGCATAAATGAGCTGGTCACAGGGCCTGGGACAGATGCTGCGTGACAGACAGACGCTGTCCCATTACGGCAAGAACTACAACCTGCCCACGCATGCCCAGGTTCACAGGGAGCTGGTACAGGGCCACCTGCCTGGCTATGTATGACAACATTGCACATTTCAAGAACTTTATCTCCGGTCTCCCTTCCTGGCTATGTTCTTACATATACATAGCTTGGTCCCCATTTCAGATAAAGCCACATGGTCTCTCGGAGCCTCGTTCTCAGCCCACTGGCCCACGAGGTCTGTTGAAACTGCCTCAAAACAGTATTTCCCTACATGCTTCACAGAATATGAATTTCATGAGCCAAGGAAACTGGTGAGAAAATAATCTAGGGAAATGCCAGCGTAAGTAAACTTAAAGATGCCATTAGACACCTCTGAACCTTCTAATGCTAGTATCTTCTGAGACTCTCCCAGAATGAGAAACAGTGAAGAGCATGTCCTCAGTTTAGTTATTGGCAGAGTCTTTCATCAGCAAAGGCTTTCAAGGGGACAAGCACCCCACAGAGCACCCTTGCAGAAACACCAAGGATGACAGGACTCTCAGGAATGTTTGTATTTAACTAGGAAGCAGGAATCGTAATAAGTTACTACTGAACACTTACCAGACCTTTCAAAAATATTAACACATTTCATTCTCATAGGAACCCTGTAACTTTGCTACTATTATAACTATTCCCATTTTACAGACAAGGAAGTGGAAGCACCAAGCAGTTAAGAGATGTGTCGAATTTGACAAGTTATTGAGCAGGGGAGCTGGGAAATTGAACCCAGCCACCCTAGAAATTAATTTCTAATGGTAGCATCTCAGACACTATGATCAGCTTGCAGTGAGAGATTCAGAAGGATTTTGCAAAGTAAGTTTCAAGTCACAGTAAACGCAACCTCTTTGCCACAAGGGAGGTTTCACAGACCTCCCCAGTTTGTGTAGAGGACACAACATCTAAATCCCACAAGTGATTCAGTTTCATCAAACTGTGTTCAACTGTACATGTACACGCTTCCCTTCAAACATTCATGACTTAGCACCACAACCAGTAAAAGCAATAATTCCTGAAGAGAACAATCTCTTTCACCAAAGTAGTAAAAACTGAAGATAAGAGTTTGTGAAATGTGTTCTCCAAGTATTGATCTCTCACTCTCCAGCTCAGAGAACAAAACCAAGGAATTCTCTTCCTTTCACATGTAAAGTTTTATATGCCAATCTCCTGACTTTGCTCAAGAATCACCAAAGACATCATTGACTTACCCTCTCCCACTTCCTCTCCTTGTTCAGCAGGATGATCACCAGTTTTGGGTGCATTTGGTAGCCATCTTCACTGAAGGACAGATTTCTCCCTTCAAAAGTGACATTGATGAGATATCTGTGAAGACAAAAATAAATGAAAGGTTAGGTGTGTGAAAAAGCAGGACCAGAACAAGGAGGGAGGAAGGTGGATGGAGATAGACATGTAGCTGGAGCTAACAAATCCCACTAGACACCTGGTATCCCTGGAGCTCCCAGTGCATAGACAACAGTCACCCCAACAGCCACTTACTAGAAACAATACTAAAGGCTAAAAGTAACTTAAATAAACTGCAACTGAGTTTAGTCTGTAGCTATGACTTTGAACAAGTTCCTGGTGTTGGAACATCAGTTTTGATCTACCATTGGCCAAAAAATCAAAAGGGGGGTGGTAGTAAAGAAATCTGCTTTATTAGGTTGTAAGACTTAAATAAGGTACTTTGCCATGGTACTGGAACTCTCATTAAGTGGTAACTATTATTCAAAAACAAAACAAAACACAAAAGGAGCTGAGCTAAGAGGCAAGAGGCGTGGAGACAAGACACTGGAGTGGGTCCAGATACTGACTGCCGAGAAGGCGGCAGATGGGAGCCCAGAGTCTCTCCACCAGGAATTTGCACAAGTTTTCCAAATCTTAGTAAGACCCCCTCACATCCGTTTAGGAGTTGCAAGATGATTCCAAGAATTTGTTTGTGTTTGTTCTTTTGTTTTGCTTCTCTACACCTACGAGTAGCTCATCCATTATTTGTCTTTCTCCTTCTGAGTTTTTTCACTTAGTATAATCCTTTTCAGTGCCATCCCTGTTGTCACAAATGGCACGATTCACTTGTTTTCAGAGCTTATTAGTATTCATTTGTGTATCTCTACCTCTCATCTGTCATCAGATGCTGAGGTTGCTTCCATAGCTTGGTGCTTCCATATATTGTGCAGTCAACACAGGGTGGCATATATACCTTCGCATCAATTTTTGTGTCCTTCTGAGAGACATCCCTGAAAGAGATTGCTGGATCACATGACAGACCTACTTTTAATATTCTAAGAAATCTCCACCTGTTTTACATACGGGCTAGGCCAACCTACATTTCCACCAACAGGGTGTGAAGGCTCTTTTTTCTCCATGTCCTCACTAACAACTTGTTGGCAGTGGGCTTTCTGATATGGGTCATTCTCTTGGGTGTGAGTAGGTATTTCACTGTGGTACTGATTTATATTTCCCTGATAGGTGATGAGTACTTTTTCATGTGCCTGTTTGCCATCTGTCTACCTTCCTTGGAAATTGTCCGTTCAGCAATTCTGCCTATTTTTATGCTGAGGCTACCAAATGGGGAGGAGGGGAGGGGCAGAGAACTATGGTGGAGGATTACTGGTGGTTTGGTGGTGGGAGTGGTGTGATAATACACATCTGCAGAGGTGTGAGCCTATGTCCCTGAAAAACAGTGTTGTAAAGCAACATCACCTCAATAAACATAACCTAAAACCAGACAGACAGATAACTTAGGTAAGTCAGGAGGGAGAAAGAATTACAAGATGCATCAGCATCTAGTTTCCACGAGGTGCTGCACTGTGTGCAGTGAACAGGAGAGATGGGTGGGGTTGGAGGTGCAGGCACACACATTAGCAGAAACTCTGACAATAACGAGAGTGAGGCCAACAAAATTGTCTTCCTCAGCACCTGCACCTCACCTCACCCTCTGCTGGCCCATCCGACCTGATGAGGAGCGCCCCCAGTGGGAATCCCCATGGGTGTGCTCATTACAAGCAACTTACTGCAATCGGCTCATAGTAATTAATGTCCCTTTACCATAATGGCCAAGGAGTCAGTAATGATTAGCTCTTGTTCCTATGATGTGCTACTCCAGAGCCTCGGGCCCAGTGCTTCTAGAAGACGTCACTGCTGAGAAGCAAAAGGGGTATCTGGTCATTGTATTGAGGGTTTCTCAAGGGCCTGAAGATGTGACCACTAGATGTGGTTTCCTGATACAGTGAAGGGGAAGAGATGACTATGTCAGAAAGCAGCTTAAATTTTCCCCATGAAGGGGAAGAGATGACTATGTCAGAAAGCAGCTTAAATTTTC